TAGTCACACACTGTCAGCAGCTTGGAAGGTGAAGGAGCTCCACTGCCTGACTCTGTGCAATGTACCACCTTAAAGATGATGCATGTGGATTCAATGCCTTAATCCATCTAATAAACTGAATTCTCTGTAATTTTTTTTTGCAAGAAACAGGACAAATGGCGCAATCATGATCCTGGTCCTACATATTTGGACAGACTCAGCAAAACAGTCCAAATCACTCAAGGCAGGTGTTGGGCAATCATTTCATGCTCTGATGGCTAATGTAGAGGTCAAGGAGAGGGTGCTTAGATCCTGCATGGAGCAGAGTGGACACACCCCCAGCCCCTCCTGCCCCTGCCCTTTTACTCAGTGTAGATCACTCACCTTCATGCTGCACAGAGACCTCAGGGTGCTGTGGACCTGCAATGCAGCATGATCCTTGATGCTGTTTTTCCAGCAAAGTCGCTTTATGATTCACAAGCAGAATAGTGCCTGACTGCTCTTTGCACACTTACAGTCAGCAGTCATTGGTGCAACCTTGGGAAGGGGAAAAACAGAGTGTTTTGCTGCTAATCTTTTCTTAAAACATGGCACAAATCCAGCACCAACAAACAATGTGGGTAGGTGGAACTGTGATAGTATCACACGTCTCAAATGTCTTGGTGATGTGACAGCTTGTCTAAAGCCAGGAAAATTTCTTTAGAATCTACTTTAGAATTCTGCCTTAACAAAACCCCAAAACAACTGTATGCTTCAAAAAGTCCAGCTGGAGGACTTTCCTAATTGCCAATCATTTTTAATTAGCCCTTGTGTTTTTCCCTGGAGTGATTTGAGCACAGTACCCAGATTGCACACTGTGTTCCTCATGCTGCTGAGCTGCAAATGGAGACTTCTCTGAAATACCATTTATCTGGCATACACTTCAGGCTTGGTGATATTTGGGAGGTTCACTAGAAGTGATATCATTCTTCCCTGCCCTGCTGAGAACCTGGCTCTTCTGCACTAGTCCATATTGTTCTACAACCTACACAAATCTGGAGGTCTTGGTTTCCAGAGCCACAACCAGACCCAGTCAGACATGGGGGCTACTCTATGGGGCTAGTAGCTGGATGGTCCACAAACCTTTGAGACAAACAGATGTTTAAGGCTTTCATGAAATGTAATCTTTAAAGGCCATGAAAAGGTCAATCTTTTGCAAGGCCAAATCAAAGAGCTGTCCCTCAGCCACATCTGTCACTGTTACCTGCAGAACTTGGGTCGTCTCTGAGCCTGTGAACACGAGGTAAGAGATGAAGCCCATGTGCTTCTCTGCTGCTGTCCAGGCACAGGGAGACAGTGTGCAACATGCAGCTGGTACAGGATTATTTTAGGCTGTGCTCAGAGACGCCCTTTGGATGTTCAGTACATTCAGTTTCCTTACATCCGCTCAATTTGCTTTTTCAATTGGCAGAGAGATTTACCTAAAGTGACACCTCTCTCTGGTAAAGCAGAGTATTGGGAGCTAATTGAGGGTAGAAACTCTTTACTTGAAATGTCCTGTGTGGGAAAGAGCTGTTATTTTCTCTCAGGTGGAAAGATTGTAAGCAAGAGGTGCAATACCGATGTGTTTCAGAAGGAAATTCTGCTTGCTAATATTTATATAGCCCTGTGCTGTAGCCAGCATTAGCCATGTGGAGAAAGAGTGATGGGAAAAGCATCAATTTCCCTGCTCAGACTCAAACCCAGGGCCTGCAAAGCCTAGGCTGGTGCAAGGTGCGGAGAAGGGAATACAGAGGTGTGGATGGAGGCAGGGATCAGCCACCTTTCTGAGGGATTTGTGCAGCTTAACTCCCACCTAGAAAGCAGGCTGGGGGCAGCATGAATCAGCAGCATGGGCACTGGGCTCAGGTGGGTTCATGGTGGCTCATAGGGGACCAGGGGGCTCCTGCTGGACCCTGTTTTGAGGAACACCACATCTGAGTTGGGCCACAGCCAGTTTGGCTCAGCCAGCTCTGTTATGGCTCCAGCCACCTGAAAACATCCTCTGACCTGTCCTGGAGAGCCCCATGGCCCTGTGTCCCAGCCCAGCTGCTGACTGCCCACCCCTCAGACATCTTTGCACCACTGCAGCAAAGAAATGGTGATCTGTATGATGCAAGCACAGCGAAGTTGCTTGTGCAGCAGAATCATCAGTGCGGTAACACAGCACTGACTCGGTGTGTGATATGAAACCAGGGAGCATCCACCTCCCAGCAACCAAGCACCAAAACCTCCGGTTTGCAACAGTTTGCTGCTGAAATCCTCCAAGTGTAATGATATGTGACTACTCAGGGGAGTACCAAGCTCTCAGTGGATCAGCAGCTAAGTGGAATAGAGCCCTGAGCCCCGAACACACAACATTTTCAACCAGACAGTACAGGAAAACAGACCACGTAACAAAGTGGTGCAGCAACACTTCTACCCAGGCACAGGAATGTCCTGCTTGGCAGAGCCTGCCAGAGAAGAGGATTAAAAACCACAAGACAGTCAAAAGTTCCAGTGACGAGTGAGTGTTTACCAAAGGCTCCATGCCACGTGGGTACATGAGGTGTTCCTTGCTCACCTGGGATGGGACAAATTAATTGACACCTGATCAAAAATGAAAGCAACTGCAGCCTGTGTTCCCTTCTCTGAAAGGGATGAGCTTTCCTGCCTTTGGTCTTTTGGTTTTATATAACCTTTAGGTTTTTCTTCCATAGCAAAAGAATCTCTCTTGTTTGTCATTGCAGTCTGGGACTATTTTTAACACCACTAATGAGTGACTAAAGCGGGGTGGAGTAGCTAAGCCAGCTTGCTGCTCCCAGCCACCCACGAGGTTTATCTGACCATCAGAGGAGCAGCTGGAGCAGAGCCAGCCCACACGAGGAGGCAGAGCGAGGCGCCTGCAAAGTGTCTGTGTCCTGGGACACGCACGGTGAAAAAATGCACACCACTTCCTGCAGCTGACTGAAAAAAGGCCCAGACTCCTCGCAGGGCAGGCATGGCCAATGCTGGAGTATTTCTCTGTGTTCATCTCTGACCAGAGCTCACAGAGCATGCAGTTTGCATCTCATCTGCCCATCAGAAAAAGATAGGAGAAAAGCCATGTGTGCAAGTTATGCCTAGAGGATACCCAAAGGAAGGCAAACAGTTTCGCACTATTCAGTAAACTAACGGAAAATCATAGAATCATTAAGCTTGGAAAGACCTCCAAGATCAAGGCCACTACTATACCATACCCCCTAGAGCCACATCCACATGCTTTTTGAATGCTTCCAGGGATGCAACACCAGGCCTATCCTTCAGAGAGGTCTCTGCAGAGGTTGCAGCGTGTCGGAAGCTGTTGAAACGGATACATCCTGCATCCCTTCTCCCTTCAGCACCAGGATTGCTGCATTCAGAGGAGGGACTGAAAATAACCGTGGGAAGTACCAGATGGCAGCTGCTGAACGCAGTGTGTTGGCTGCCAAGTCCTTCCCAGCACAAGAGTGCACGTACTGAATGGGAATGACGATGTGGTCACTGGAGCATGACAGCACGAGGGCAGCACCAGGAGCACAGCAAAACCTGAGCTGGAAAGCAAGAAACACTCCACTCTGGACAAACAATATTCCAGAGGATTGTATATGTATGCCTAAAGTTTTAATATATATGTTATATACATGCATAAATAAAAGCCTACCTAATGTAACTGCTGTGAAGTGTTCAAACCTCTATCCACACTAAACTATAAAAGACAAGTTGCACTGAAGGGTTAACTATGTTTATTGCAAAGAGCAGTGAGAGGCCAACAAACCCAGGCATGTTCTGCTGCATGTGGCTGTGGCAGTGTAAGACAAAACACTGGAGCAGCAGAGCCTCTGTCCCCCAGCCCTCTGCCCCATCAACCTTCCACCAGCCAGGGGAGAGAATAAGCACCTGCTGAGGGGTGTCCGGGACTGGACACCAGTCCTTGGGCTGCCCAGGCACTTGAAACAGAAACCTCAACACCAGCCACATGAGGTTTTACTCACAGCAGCTTCAGCAAATGTGTTTGCTAAGGGTAAGCAGTGAAGTTCGGAGGGATCTGAACATATAGTCTCAACACACAGTTCAATCTGCCACTTCTGCTGCACAGAGGAACACCAAGACCACCCCACATTCAGCAGTTCTGAGGTCTGGGGGATGCAGCCACCACAAAGGGATTGACTTCGGCTTCTTCAGCTGGCCAAGCCCTCCACTAATTTAAAACCCAACCCCACAGGATTTATTTAGAAGAAGAACCTTTTACACCTGCAGAGAGGCTGGGAAAATAGACTGTTCCCTCCTCCAGCTTTTTGCTCAATGGTACTTTAATTGCGTCCAACAAGGACCCAGATTTCCTCTCTGAGCTGGTGTGAATTCACTGCTTTCTAGGGGATGATTATACATCATGAAGAGGGTAACACAGAGCCTTCAGGCATAAACATATTGTATAGTTTCTGAAGAATATTCCTGTAAATTGCAAGTATGGTTACAAATTGCTGCACTTTCAAAACATAAATACAGTAACATGCTTTGCTGACCTGTGGTTTTCTTCAAGACTCTTGCCCATGACCTAAGACTATTTTAAATAATATGGAGCTATCAAATCAAACTAAGAAGCTGCAACATTGAATTTATACTAACTGCATCTTTCTGCATTTATCAGTTATCAACTGCACTGATAAGAATTTTGCTTCTTAGCAAGAGATGGTAAATAAACACAAAGATTACAAAGTGCTAAGAGTCCTTTCAAGAGGGCTACATGAAAAGCCTTAAGTGGAAAATATTTCTCCACAACAAACATACTGCCAGGTTTAATACCAAGCTATTAGAAATCATTTACTGTATAGAAAAAGATGGGTTTTTTCATTCCCCAGATAGTAAATAGTACATGTATTCTTCCAGCTGAGAGAAAAAGCACAGGATAGCTGCAGTTCATTTCTTCTTGATTCACAGTTGCAAAAAATAAAAGTTCACAGCAAGAATTTTCTCCTTCAGAATAAAGTAGAAATATCCAGTTGCTAAAAGTACAAATCTCGTCTTCTGTCATTAATCTGAATACCTGAAAGACACAGCAGCATGAGGACAGTCAAACAGCACAGTCCCTGCAACCTCTTCAGATGATGTGCAAACAAAATTGCACCTTTGGGTCTGGTGCAAGAAGGGCCCTTACTAGAATAACCAGAATGACCCATCCAAAGTATCCCCAAAACATTGCACACCAAAGAACCAGCGTCGGGGTATGACCCAGTCTCAAGAGACTAACACAAATAAGGAAGCCTGAATGTTTTGGGAGTTGTTTCTTAGAACAACTCTCATAGCAGCTTGGTGGGTTTGGTGGTGAAAATTGCAGCAGTGCTAGCACATGGGTCCAACAGGGACCTCAGCCTGAAGCCAGGAGCTTGAGGCACAGAGCAATGGGTGTCCTGTCTCTCTGGGATCTGAAACTTGGACAGACAGTGAAAAATAGGCATTGTGAACTGGCAGCCTGATGATATAACCACAAACACTAAGACAGATGCGGTTCAAAAAAAAAAATCATAGATCTCAATAGAACGTTTTTCTTCTTCTCTTTTAATGCAGTTATGGGAGGTGATGTGTCTGTCTGGGGGGAAAAAACAAGCTTTTGAAATACAGTCTGGAAGCAAACAAGGAAGCTTCTTTAATTCTGCATGCATAAGCAAGGCTGCTGTCCTTCACACGTGAGCACTGATTTGTTCCAAACCTGCTGGTTTCACTACTCACCTGCAGTGGCATGGCTTACACTGGGGTTTTCTGAGCCTTGGTAAGAGCTTGCTTTCCTCTCTTAAAAAAGAAAAAAGAATACAAAATACTTGGGATGAGCAGAGATTCAACACAGAAATAAAAGTAGACAGTAGTTCCTAAAGAAACCTTGTGCTTTTACAGCCCAGCCCATAGCACAGGTGCTGGGGAGCTCTGTGATGTCTGGCACAGCAACATGCACTTCCATAAATATAAATATCAGCTGTTCTTAAACATGACACAGTGCAAGGAGGAGTATATTTAAGGGATAGAGCCAGGAAACAGGGACTCCCACAGTCAGACTAAATGCACACATCCTAGGGATTTGCCAAAGACTGAACATGGACCAGCCATTTCTTATGGACCCTTCTGCTTTGTTTGATGAGCACGTGTGGTGTTAGACATGTGATGCTAAGAGGCTCCCTGAATATTCAGAAAGGCTCTGTAAAGAAAAGGCTTTAATTGGCAATAGTTGAGAACACTGAGCTGCTTAATTTCCTTTTCAATTTTTCCCTACTTTATTTATATTTATTTCCAAAATTTCCCCAAATTTTGAAAATAGAAAGTCTGCTGGTTTTAGCAGTGCTTCCCTGTTTTGATCCCAGGACTAGTTTCATGAAACATCTCTTCTGGAGGAGTTGGTTCCTGGGGCTGCTGAGCCTTGATAGGCTCACATTGCCCCCTTGGGGGAAGAGGACACCTAACCTTGTTCTTAAGTTAAATCCTAGAAGTCCAGACTGTGTCTTTAAAGTAATTAAACTCTCATTTACTAGCTTCAGAATGTCTAGGGTGAGTGTCTGTGCAACACACACGAACCTCTGCTCAATCTATCCATGTATCATCAGCAGAACGTTTGTATTCGAGCTGAAGACGCAACTCTCCTTTTCCATGCACAGACACAGACAGGCATCAGATATTCTAGCAGGAATAAGTGAACAAAACACATACAGTTGGGATGATCATAACATAGGCTCTGGTGTATCCTCAAAAGAGGATAAACTCTTGTGGATAAACTCCTGTTTGTATCTGCAGGCAGTTTTTAGCCTGCATCCCACCAAATCCCAGTTTCGAAACTGGATAACTAGTAGGTATTTCACAGCTGGTTATTTTTCAAAACCTAAGCCTTGGGATTGCTTCACAGAATCATAGAATCAACAGGGTTGGAAAAGACTTCCAAGATCATCAAGTCCAACCCTACTGTGGTTACTAGACCATGGCACTAAGTGCCACATCCAGTCTCATCTTGAAAACCTCCAGGGATGGTGAATCCACCACCTCCCTGGGCAGCACGTTCCAATGCCTGAGCACTCTCTCTGTATAAAATGTCTTCCTAATATCCAACCTAACCCTCCCCTGGCAGAGCTTGA